ATAGCAAATAACAGATTCGGTATTTCCTGAACTATCTTTTTGCCCACTTATGCACTCTATAGTTATGTCAATACATCAAAAACATTGATTACATTTATAATCACTTTTAAAATTCTTTAAATATTTACATTTAATATCATTAGAATTGATTATTTAATAAAATTATATAAGGAGTGGTCCACAAAATACGTTCGCACTTGGGGGAGGGGGTGTCGGCCAAAGCGAACTTTGCAAATGAGGGGGTGTAGAGACCTTATGAACGTTTGCATTAAAATGATTTAAAGGATTAATTTGTTTCAAAGTCAATCTTTTGATTACAAATGTTTAATAAATATTATAAAGTATATGACTTTTGGATAGTCTTATTTCTTGTTATTGAATTATTTTAAAAGTGAAATTATAATTATCTAAATTTTAGATTGTAAAATATTCATTAAAATCGTTATTTTATTATTTAAATTAATTAATGTCAAACTCAAGGCCGTCATATGACTACTCCAAGCATTATTTCTAAAATTATTGTCGATTCTATGTTTATAACACATGTTTAAACGAATTTTTATTAAATTATTTATAAATTTAGTGATATTTTATTTTATTTCTTAGGAGTAGGGGATAAACGTGACATTCGAACACAAGTGTGAACTAAGGGGGAGGAGGTCTAGATTTTTTAAAAAGTGCGAACTTACTATGTGAATCACCTCTTATAATTATATGATTATATTCATTAATGATATTTAAATTTAAATTTACCCTTAAATATATGCATTACTTTCTTTAATTGACATTTAATTAAATACAGTCTAATCTTTTGTTTAATATTTGAAAAATAATGTTAACATTTTTATTTAATTTTTAAATGAATAACTAATTATTAAATAAATAATCGCTTTTGAAAAATGTAGTTTTTTGTTGATTATTGATTATATTAGAGATAAAACTAAAACCGGTTATATGTTTACAAATATTTATTTTAAATGTCTAAATATTAAATATTAAGTGATAAGTTTTCTCATCTTATATTTTAAATAATTTATATCAAAGTATTATATAATTAGCGACAGAATTAAAGAAAGTTTATATTCTCTAATTTTAAAACTAAATTCTAGCCATAAATCCAATTCATATATCAATTGTATTGTCAAATAGAAATGAGTGGTTGTCTTAAAGGCCAGCGAACGGGTCCGGGATATAAAAGTCCTACGGATGCGATAAGTGGTCGCCCGGAGACACTTATGTATGTGACTTGTGTTCAACCAAATGGTCTAAAGGATCAAAAGCCAGATTTTTTGGCCACCGTTGATGTGAACCCACAATCAGACACTTACTGTCGAGTGATATCTCGAGCAGTGGTCAGTCATTTTGGCGATGAGTTACACCATTCGGGTTGGAATTCTTGCAGCAGTTGTTTTTGCGATCCAAACAAAGTGAGAGATAAAATGATTTGTCCGGCGCTTAATAGCGATCGCATCTATATTTTTGACATGAGTTCACCGAAAGAGCCAAAACTGTTTAAAACTATCGAAAATGACGAGTTGTACGCAAATAAAGTCAGTAGTGGTCACACATCCCATTGTTTGCCTTCAGGAGAAGTTATGATCAGTACAATGGGAGACGAAAAAAGACTAAATAAAGTAAATTTATTGCATAAAATCCACACAAAAAATTATATTACAAAACAATTTTATTGTTTTATAATTAATTATAATTAATAAATATTATTAATAATTATTTTAGGGATCGTTTATATTATTGGATGGAAAAACTTTTAACTTAAAGAGTCAGTGGAATCGACCGGAAGATAGTGTCCAATTTGGTTATGATTTCTGGTATCAGCCCAACCATAATGTGATGATTAGCACTGAATGGTCGGCTCCCGAGACAGTGAGACGAGGATTTAATTTGGATGACGTCCGCAATGGTCTGTACGGACACTGTCTTCATGTGTGGAATTGGAGTTCTCGACAATACATTCAAAAGATTGATTTGGGAAGCGATGGAATGCTTCCATTGGAGATCAGATTTCTTCACAATCCAAACGCTTGCGAAGGTTTCGTCGGATGTGCTCTCAGTTCTACTGTTTTCAGATTTTTCAAATCTGGAGACAAATGGGAAGCAGAAAAAGTGTTATCCATTCCAACGAAACGAGTAACCAATTGGATAACGGATGATATGCCGGCTCTCATCACCGATATATTGATCTCTTTGGATGATAAGTATCTTTACTTGAGTTTATGGTTTTTGGGCGAAATAAGACAATACGACATCTCAAACACTTCGTCCCCTGTTTTGGTTGGAAAGTGTTGTTTCGGTGGTATTCTTAGCAATAATAGTCTCGTCAAAGAGGTTGGAAACACAGAAACAGATAGTAATACCGAACGGGTATTCGTTCAGCAGAAGCACATCAAAGGCGGGCCACAAATGCTTCAGTTGAGTCTCGACGGCAGAAGACTTTATGTCACAAATTCTTTGTATAGCGTTTGGGATAAACAGTTCTTTCCCGATATGGTTGCCGAGGGTTCAGGTAAATGCACTTTTCATCTCTTTTTAATGTATTATTCAATTATTATATTTAATATTAAATGTTTGAGATGGTATAGGAATGTCAGTTCATTTTTAATTACCTGTTTATCACAATCTTAATAAAGTGTAAAATTGTAAATTACATGCTCTTCTTTAATGACTATTTCTTATATCAGATGAATATTTGATTTAATATAAATTTTTTAAGTCTATAAATTCCTAACTTTTATTATCTGTTTTTCGGTTACTAATGAAATAACTAGCCGGCCAAAAAAACCTGTCCCCTGGGAAACGGCATTATCTCCCAAACAAAATGAGCTAGATCAAATCTGTAAAATGCATAATGATGTTTAATATTTCTAATATTTTTGTATAAAAATTTACTGAAATCACGTGATTAGAACATAAAAATTTTTGGGTCACTTTGAATGTCATGGTTTTATCCCAGTTGATAAGGGGGTCGTAGGTGGCGGGTATGCTACTCAGAAGAGGGGATGTAAACGTGTTATTATAACTTAGAACCACACTCATCGGATTGTAGGAATTAACACAGCAGGTTACCGTAACAAGCTTTTGCAAATTTTGCATGTTAACCTATGGGACTGAAAAAAATTATACAGTATTCAAATATGACTAACTATATTATTTAATACTACATTAAATGCTAATTATGTTAGTAATTTTTTTTTGTTGAAAATTTCAATCTAAAGCCAAAATATCGTAAATTGAAATATCAAGTTTTAGCCAGAAAAATCTAAAAAACTTAATATTTCAATTTACAATATTTTGGCTTTAGAATGAAAGTTTTCAAAAATTCTTTATATTTAAATCTAATATTATTTTTAGTCCCATAGGTTAACAGCAAAATTTGCTAAAGTTTGTTAACCTGCTGTGTTAATTCCTACAATCCGATGAGTGTGGTTCTAAGTTATTATTACTTTTTGACATTTCCTCTTCCGAATAGCATACCCGCCTCCCTCCGACCCCCCTATCAACTGGAATAAAACCATGACATTTCGAAATTACCAAAAATATTTATGTTCTAGTCACGTGATTTCAATCAATTTTTATACAAAAATACGAGAAATATGGAGCATCATTATTAATTTTACAGATTTGATTTAGCTCATTTCGTTTGGAAGATATGTTTTCGAGGGGACAGGTTTTTTGGCCGACTGAATATTATATTTTAAAATAATATGTTTAAGAATTGTACAAATGTTTACAAAATTGCACTCATATTTAATGAACATAAATATCATTTTGTTGACCAATTATTGCGGTATTTTGAAGCAATTTTTAAATACATTTTAAAATATTAGAACACAAATGAAGTGATGATAATTAAGATAATAATAATTGATATTTTGGTCTAAATATACAGTTATGCTTATGATTGATGTTGACGTTCAAAGTGGAGGTCTATCTATAAATCAAAACTTTTTGGTTGACTTTGGAAATGAAGAATTCGGACCCGTTTTGGCTCATGAAATAAGATATCCCGGAGGAGACTGTACTTCAGACATATGGATCTGATTTATGAATACATTATATGCTATATTTGAATCAAATTATTCTCTATTTTAATGCTTTTTTATAAAATTGTTAAAAACTAACTAATTTTCAATAAAGTTTGAGTTAAATACTTGATAATTGGTTACTACACTATAGGAACCATAATTATGCATTTTCAATGCATTTTGCATCAATTTTCTCATACAATTTACAAATACATTTTCTCGAATTCAATAAAGAATATAAACTAACAACTATTTTATCAACTATTTATGCCATAAACTATATGGCATTCGTTAAATATGGCATTTATAATGACTATTTGATTAATTCATCATTTTTAATGAATCTGCACGACTGAACGACTGATTCAGTTCTGGATTTATTGATTATATAAAACAACTGCTCATAAATCACACAATTTATTAAACAATAATTGTTGGATAATTATTATCATTTCTTAAAGATAATGTCAAAACAATTAGCAAAAAAATAAAGTAAAACAAATATTCAAAAATAAATTAACAATTTCTTTATTTATTTGATTTGCAAAATATTTCAACCTTTATTAAGCCCTTAAACCAATTTTAGGTGAAATTTGTTTAATTTATTTAAAGCTACATTTTGACACTGTCTTCATGTATGGAATTGGAGTTCTCGACAATACATTCAAAAGATTGATTTGGGAAGCGATGGAATGCTTCCATTGGAGATCAGATTTCTTCACAATCCAAACGCTTGCGAAGGTTTCGTTGGATGTGCTCTCAGTTCTACTGTTTTTAGATTTTTCAAATCTGGAGACAAATGGGAAGCAGAAAAAGTGTTATCCATTACAACGAAACGAGTAAAGAATTGGATAACAGATGATATGCCGGCTCTCATCACCGATATATTGATCTCTTTGGATGATAAGTATCTTTACTTGAGTTTATGGTTTTTGGGCGAAATAAGACAATACGACATCTCAAACACTTCGTCGCCTGTTTTTGTTGGAAAGTGTTGTTTCGGTGGTATTCTTAGCAATAATAGTCTCGTCAAAGAGATTGGAAACACAGAAACAGACGGTAATACCGAACGGGTATTCGTTCAGCAGAAGCACATCAAAGGCGGGCCACAAATGCTTCAGTTGAGTCTCGACGGCAAAAGACTTTATGTCACAAATTCTTTGTATAGCGTTTGGGATAAACAGTTCTTTCCCGATATGGTTGCCGAGGGTTCAGGTAATTGCACTTTTCATCCCTTTTTAATGTATTATTCAATTATTATATTTAATATTAAATGCTTGAGATGTTATAGGAATGTCAGTTCATTTTTAATTACCTGTTTATCACAATCTTTAATAAAGTGTCAAATTGTAAATTACATGCTCTTCTTTAATGACTATTTCTTATATCAGATGAATATTTGATTTAATATAAATTCTTTAAGTCTATAAATTCCTAACTTTTGTTATCTGTTTCTCGGTTACTAACGAAGTATCAGTCGGCCAAAAAAAACCTGCCCCCTCGGAAACGGCTATATCTACCAAACGAAATGAGCTAGATCAAATCTGTAAAATGCATAATGATGTTTGATATTTCTAATATTTTTGTATAAAAATAGCATACCCGCCTTCCTCCGACCCCCACCCCTATTAACTGGGATAAAACCATGATATTTCGAAATGACCCAAAAATATTTATGTCCTAGTCACGTGATTTCTATAAATTTTTATACAAAAATACTAGAAATATGGAACATCATTATGCATTTTACAGATTTGATCTAGCTCATTTCGTTTGGAAGATATAGCCGCTTTTGAGGGGACAGGTTTTTTAGCCGACTGAATATTATGTTTTATTTTAAAATAATATGCTTAAGAATTGTAAAATTTTTGCAAGTGTTTGCAAATGTTTGCAAAATTGCACTCATATTTAATGAACACAAATATCATTTTGTTGACCAATTATTGCGGTATTTTGAAGGAATTTTTAAATACATTTTAAAATATTAGAACACAAATGAAGTGATGATAATTAAGATAATAATAATTGATATTTTGGTCTAAATATACAGTTATGCTTATGATTGATGTTGACGTTCAAAGTGGAGG